GCTTGCCCCATCCTCCTCCTTTTCCTTTCATTCCTATTTATGTTTTTTTCCCTTTGACTTCACTGTAAGAATTTGATCTTTTTATCTCTACTTTTGAATTCATTCCTATTTGTATTCTTCTCTTATACGTGTTTACTTCATTTCTGTAATTGGGGTTCTTTTTGTTAATAAATTGTCTTTTCGTTGAAGGCTTTTCCTCTTGTTTTATATCAAATTTTTTGGACAAGTAGTCGATGCTTATATTATCCAAGAGAAGCAGCCTAAGTAGGCAATGATGACCTACAAGATCCCTCAATCAGTATATAAATTTATATTAACCCTATCATTCCTGTCGATATAATGCTTTTGGTTGTTAAAGCATTGATTTTTCCTATTGGGTATTGTGTGTAAAAGTCTAGCATGAGATGACAATCACATCTTACTGTTTTTTTGGTTATATTTTATTTCATTTCTCAAGTGGCTTCTCCCTATCTTTTAGCTCACTAGCCTTTGGACCTGAAGTATAATGATTAGAACCCTGTCCACTATAACATCCTTTAACAAAGCTTTAGACCCCAGTGAAGTTCATCTCATAGTTGGGTGTTTTAGGTTAATGTTTCGTGAAGGACAGGAAATACAAAATCCATAGTCGGACCATTGTGAAAGTTTCAACAGTAATGCTACATGAGGACAACAGCTGGCAAGGTTATTGTTAATTTGAATCGGGTTAAGATGTAGCTTGAATGAACTAAATTCATATGTTATATTTTGCTATATATCATCTTTGGGGGTATTATAATGGGGAAATTATAGTCTAGGAGATTTCCTTGGTTAAGTTTAGGTCACCCTGAAACAGAATAGACCATAGTTAAAAACTTTTATTGTCTGCGGCTCTGAGCATCTTATCTTGTGGATGGTAGAGATTATTGTTTATTTGCTTGTAACTTATCTGCTTTCTAAAAGTGTCCTTTGCTTTCGCCTGTTTCCTTCAATGATTTCAGCTACTGGAGTAATCCAGATAAAATTGACAACGTAGAACATCTTAGACAGATGGAAGATTCACTAAGAGAATCCATTGCACGTGTTAGGATACACAAAGTATGGATATGGTATCTTCACCTAGTTATTGTGATCTCTATGCACTGCTCAATATATAAGCAAGATATTGTATGTTCTTACTTGGTTTAGAAGATACAGTCGTTTAAACGCATCAAATTTTACTTCACCCTGAACTGCTCGATTCGTTATCCTCTTGATGGATACCTATAGGGAGTGCTAATTGATTTACTGTTTTAATAGAATCTGATCCATATTTACCAATAAATTGCTTATGCATGCTACTTCCTTTGCAGTAAAATTTTGGAAAGCACCATCTCATGTCACTTGAATGCACTAACCAGCAGGGTTTCAAATCGTGGTCGCGGTCGCGTTTTTCGGTTATTTTGGATTTACCTTGATTGCGGCCGTCGCGGGTAACTCGGACGGTGGCGAAACCGATATATCACGGACGAAATCGCGGTCTCGGACCGTTTTTTGAAACCCTGCTAACCAGGTAGCAAGAATATGTACTCTCTCTCCCTCTTCCCCCTTTTGGGATATATTACAATTTATGATGGCTTACAATTTCAGAATGGGATACCTTTGCCTGTAAATCAGTGGGGCGCAAGAAGCCCAACCCGTGATGTGGCTTCCCAGCAATGAAGATCAACATATGTTAATGCATAATGAATCAAACTTTCTATCTCATCGGTATAATATATATTTCAAATGTGATTCCTATTAGTCTTTTTGGGGTCTTCACCTTTACCAATACAGGTTTCTACATGAAAATAACCTAAACTCTCGTGCCTTTCTGCGTAGACATGGTTGTTTTTAGCTTCAATATTTTTTTTCAAAAGTAGCATACAAATGTGTTGTGATCTTTTGGTTTTTCTCAATACCATGGGCTGACTAGTTTGTTTTGCTCTAGAGACGCAGAGTGCTCTACAGATTGGTCCCTTGCTGGTTATTCTGGTTTCTTTGGCTCCAGTAAACAAACAGAGATTAGCAGTTCGGGACAAGTTGATAATGTGGTACAGGACTGTAATGCCCCGAATGAGTTGAGGAGTAATGCTTGCTTAAATTTAGAACCTGGTGAGCAATATTTCTCAGCAGTATAGTGCTTCAAATTTCCAAGATGATGAGAAGTTGAAGACCGATATGAAGGTGAACCTACGAGGATATCCTACGGTTAACCAAGTTATTAGCAACTTCGAAATCTCTAGACCTATGTATAACAATGGTCATCAAGCTTGGGCATCTATCCTTCATTCTAAGATATATGTTCATGGAAAATTTTGTGTTTTATGCATGTAGCAGTGCCATCTGTTACTCGGATTCGGTTGTGAATGTCAAATAGGGGTATGTGTCCGACAGGAGTATGCTAGATATTTCCCCCCATGTTTATCCATGTCGAGTCCATTTAGGTTCTCCTGTTGCGTGTTTTTAATCTTGCTGTATGATATTCACATGTTGAATCTCTTTCAATAAAATTACCATACTCATGTCATGACAGAAAAGGTAAAATAAATGTCCCAACTAAATTCTGTTCATATGATGCTTCTATGGCATCGAATAGCGTATGCTCGAGTTATTTTATTTTTTTGTTTTCTCAAATGCTACTGTTAGTTAAATGTTTCTAAGAAGTTGAATCTGCCAGCAAATTTGTTGAATACAATCGTTGTTAAATCACAGCAAACTAAAACGACTTTCATGAATCAGACACCTTCATCTGGACTGTCATGATCTATAGCTGAAGGACTCACAGACATGCTTCGGAATCTGACCATTCCATGGATCATGGTCGTTTCTTGTGATAGAGTAGGGGAAACATGCGGTACACGAAGCCCTGTGCAAGAGTTGGACTATCATCACAACCCGGTCGGTTTTTGCCGCTGGACATGTTTCTTGTATATTTAGTGTAACTTCTGTAACTCTTTTTTCTTCTTCTTCTCGTTTTAGTTGTCTAAGAACAGTTTTCATGGGGGTTTTGAGAATAATTCCAGTTCCTCAAGATGTATAGTATATGAAAACATGACCTTTTACTGTAATTTGTTTTCTAAGATGCCTTGTTTGTATTAAATATGCAGTGTAAATTAACATAAGCAATAATAATAATATATCTTTATATATATGCAATCTGAAGTTCCACTGTACATTGAAAGTTGCTTGTTTTAGATTTAATATGACTTAAACTTAGCTCAAAAAGCATTCACTCAAAGTTATGCAAAACAAAGGAACATTGATCTACAACTCCAACTTCAAATCCATTTCTTAGTAACCCCTGATTGTGTTGATGATGGTGTTGTGCCATGGATCTGAGAGATGCTGCAGCAGGTTCTCAAATGGTCCTTTCCCAGTTGCGTTGTGTTGAATTATAAAACCCAAGAATGCCAACATTGCCAATCTCCCTGCACGATCAATCCACACATCATAAATCAGATCCTTGAAGGGTATGTCAGATTACATTACATGTATGTATGTATGTATGTATACCATTGGCAAGCTCCTTTTCCTTGGCTTCAAGTGTAGGGGCAAAGTTGAGGGGGTTGAATATGCCACCAGGGTAGCCACACACGTTGGGGGGCAAGCTGTATTGCTTGAAGATAGGATCCTGGTTCACACAGCCAGGGTTCTTGATGTCTTGCCACCTTCTGATCTCCACGTAGTGGAACAAAATGAACTCGATAACGAAGAGGGTCGATGACGATGCAAAGTATTCGGCTTTGCCGGCATCATACCACTGGGGAGCATTGATTATCCCAATCTTAGTGAAAACTTCTGGCAAAAGCATCCCCGCAACACCCAACATAGCCCAACGACCGTTTACAAGCTCAGCTTGCACGTACCATCTCAAGTTCTCTGGGTCCTCAGCCAATCCAAGAGGATCAAACCCATTATCACCTGGAAGACTGCACAATTCTTTACAGTTTTAGTGTATAGATCATATCTAGCAATTCGGGTTACCTTTAAAAGGCGATAACTAAGGAATTTCGAGTTCGAATATCCGTACCTGCCATTGAGGTAAACTGGTGAAGGAAGACCTGGCAACCATTCCCCTTTCTTGGCTTCAACTTTGAATGAGCTACTTGATGTAGAAGCCATTGGTTTAAATGAAACTTGTCGGTTTAACTTACCGGAAAAACCGGTAAGGAAGCGTGTTTTCAATGCGCATGGCCGGAAAATGGCAGCGGAGGCTTGAGTAGTGACGGTGGTCATGATGTTTCCGGCGGTGTACAAGGTTCAAGTGAATGTGGATGTTTTTACTTTTTAGTGCATGGCATAAGCTTTGTATTTCAATTTCATGGGGATTCATGTGGCTCTCATTAGACGGTGGATACTGATGGTTGGTTTGTTTGATATTGTTGATCCAACGGTTGTCGTGAATTCAAGGCTTATCATGTTATCCAGATGCCGTATCCACAAATCTATTTCTTCCTTCTTGTTGGCTCAGAAAAGATCACATGGGTCCCATTCTGGGTTTAGATAGGAAGATTTTTTCTGCCACGTCGGATCTCTATTATCCAATAATTCCTTGACGCGTGGCTTTCAGATTGTATATTAGCAACAGATATCACAAGAATTTAACAGAATACTCAAATTTTAAAGATATTTATGGATCCATAAATTGGCAACTTGCTCTTCCTTTCTCCAGACTTTTTTATGCATTTTATGGCATTTCGAAATATCATATTTTTATACTCGTACTCTAATAAGTATAGAATGTTAAAATTATAACTGGATAACATTGCCACTCGCAATTGAAAAATATATATTTATGTATCATGTCATTTTCCCAGTGTCATCCATAGATTACCAATCTTTTTGGATCATCAACTCAAGATCTAGCAGATGCAGAAATCAGAACAATGACTGTCCAATTGTTAATGTCAACTGGGAATGGTTTCTTTCACTGCAATTCCGGTTTACAGGCAATGGAAATTATTATTAAACTGATGCTACTCATGAATTGCAGCACGATAAAACTGAACCCTCAAGGGAGCCAAAGTTATTGCCCCGCAACAGCTGCTGCTTCCAGTTCGTCGTTTGTCAGGAACCTGGTTGAGGGATGGAATTCTGTTTCCAAGCAACTTTCTGTCGCTTCCGGCTCAAAAGATCTCAACGAAAACTGGGTTGCAGCTGCCTCAACAGTTTTATCAATGAAAGTAGATCTCGGCATGTAATCCTTCAGTCGGCATATGAAGTCTAAATGCCCCCTTGCCTAAAGAGAAAACAGATGGCACGATCATTAGTAACCAGGACGGCACACTCATTAATATAGGACATAATTGCCTATTGTTTGCTTCCAAATGAAATAGAAAAGATCAAACCCAGAAGAAGTCGAGGGATTGTAGGAGAGTAGGGCAAAAAAAGTAGGAAATAAGACTGAAAAGACGGTTTTTGACAATCTATTTCTGAATCAATTGTAAAAGAGAAATAGTACGAGAAAACTCAGAGTTGGATACGAGTTCAACCCATTTAAAACAATCTTCAGAAAGGATACTAAATTCTCATACGACACTAACTCAGCTGATGCTCTTGTTTATGCGAAATGATAACAAATGCAATATTCACATTGAAACATATAGCTAATCATGAAGCCAATGGGTCACTAGTACAAGAAACAGAAAGAAGACATTAACATATAAAAACGAAGGTAAGCTATCATCATATAAGTTAAGCTACTCGGACTTTGGTGTGAGTAACGATACGGTATGTGTGCACTTGGGTATTTCTAAGTTTTAACCATTATTTGTAGGGTCTTTAGAGGATGCGACCTCAAGCTCACGTTTGGAAATATGTTGAGCACCAGAGTCAAATACAAGTACTTGAAGAAAAATGAAGTCATGAAAACAAAGGAAATCTTGAGTTGTTAAAAACAAAGAGAGAAAATTGTGACAGAAAAAGAGATGTTTGTATAAAGACACGGTCAAGACACAGCTGGACACGTGATCGAGGTTTTTTTTCCCTTTTACTTCCAGATAGTGAATCAGGGAGTAATTTAGTTCTAATAGGGTTTTAAAAGTTAATGTTTTTAAATTTAAATGTTAAGAAGTTATTTGCTTGCTGATTCTTAACTGATAGAGGTATCAATTGCACATTTTTATCCAATTCTATTACATTAAAAAATATTTATCAATGTTGTGTCCTGATGTATTTGTGTCCATTTTTAAAAAAAAAATTCCATATCACCAGATCAGTGTCGTGTTGTACCTGTAGTAGTGTTTGTATCTGTGCTTCCTAGGATGCAATAAGCCTAGGTAGCAAGGAAAATCTAGTGAACCATTTTTTTTCAGAAAAAGCTTTTATAAATAAAGTATAAACAACCAAGAAAAAAAGAAAGAAGTCGAAGAACTGACAGCTTACCGATCGATACACAGGAGCTCGTTTAGGAAGCTCTAGGTAAGCCATGTTTCGGACATTAAAATTAGTTGATCTTTTTTCCCATATGTAATGGGATAAAAGCGATGTATAATAGTAGGCTGCCCCCAACGTTAGGTTAAGAGCAGCTTCCGTGAGAGACCTCCGAATTATAAAATGCCCTCCATGAGACTCGATCCCACGACCACAAGGGTAAAAGCCTTGTGCTCTACCAACTGAGCTGGACGGTCATTTCTTCCAGACATCAAAATCCCATAGAAATGATGTGTGGTGGATCCACTTATTCTTGGTAATGGATTGAGCATTTCCGCCAAACTTGTGGTTACCGAATACATAATCTAAAACAAGATAGCCCAAAGTTCACAATTACAGAATGAAATACAAGTATATATATATATATATATGCTTTACGACATACACAGAATGGATTCTGAGTTTCAGGGTAATTAGTTCATATTCCACAATGAAAAGAAGCATAATATGAACTATGGTAGAACTAGACACCAACATTTTACCTTCTAAGTGGTTGAGAATTTAGCTCAGCCTTTTGAATTCTCTTCTTTCTCTTTCAAAGATGAAGTTCGGCGTTTTATAATATGTTCGACAAAAAAATCACTTCTCTCATTTTCAAATGTAATTCAAAAGAATAAATTGTAATGCCTCGATTTCTAGGTCAGTAATTTCGGTCAACCCGAAACAAAATATTAGAGTCCATTAGATTAAATAGAGAAATTCTGAACTAATTTTAAAGGGTATTGAGCCTAAGGTAGGCCCTAGAGTTTAGTGATAGTTTTAAATTAAATAAGAAAGGAGAGGGACCTAGATAACAATTTACCTCTAGCTTGTTTTAAGGTTATAAGCCTTCTCATTCTCCAGAAAATTTCACGCAAAAATATCCTCTTTCATTTTCTCTTTCATTTTCTTCTCTCGTTTCCTTCTCATTAACAAACCAAGGTGAGATTTCAAGCTAGATTGAAGAAACAAAGGTAAGTTTCTTATTCTCCATTCCCTTAGCATCAATTAGAGCCATTAATTCCTAGTTTTGGTTAAGTTTTTAGAAATGGCTTTTTATGGGTTTTTAGAAATCAAGTATTTGAAGTTATTTTAAGATAGTGTTTGAGTTGTAAGGAGCATATCTAAGCTTTATCCAACACTTAGTTAAGTAAGTCTCCATTTTTATACCTTGATTAGTTAAAAAGGTTGAAGAGAGAGTTCAATCCAAGGGAAAAAGGAAGAGTGAATCCCTAGTTGATTCAAGAAGTGTTCTAGCATCCAAAGAATCCATGTAACACACTATTAGCTTTTCCATACCAGTTGTTGTAACACCCCCAACCTATATCCGATCCGGATACGAATCCGAGGTGCCACATTGACTTTTCAAATCCTTGACTCTTGAAAAATGGTTGAAAATTTAATCTTTTATTGTAATAAAGTGGTAAAACCCTTAAATCAAAGTTAATATTGGACATTCAAAATCACAGTGAAAATAAATACTTAATAAATACATAAATACAACACATTATGTTTACAAAACGGATCGGAACATTACAATTTAAAATTTGGTAATATATGCCAACAAAATCACCAAAATAATAACAATAACCTACATTTCAAATTGTTCTGATCTGATCCTCTACCGAAGTATGTTGTCCTCTTCTAGCTTTAATCCTCGTCTTTCTTTGAATCTACGTATGAAACATTCACACGTTAAGTCGTTGACTTAGTGAGACAATAGTGAGTATAAAAGAAAATATTTAAAAACAATTTGTCATTCAATCCATATAAAACATTTTATACTGAAGTCAAGATACATTTTACGAAATAACATCTAAGGTTACTCTTTATTCAATTTATATCATTTTATTATTTTAGCCGAAAAGAATAATACTGAGAACTCAAGGTATCTGAGTACATTGAGGTTGTGCACTAATGCAGTCACCAATGCTCATATAATTTGCACCGAAGTGCCACGTAGAATTTGTTCCGAAGGACCGCATAGAATTTGTCTTGAAGGACGACGTAGAAATGTCCCGAATGACCACATAGATTTATCCCGAAGGACCACATAGAATCATGGACTCTTGGAATGCCAACTATACCTCTAATTTTCATACATATACCTTAGGCTTTAACTTTATCATTATTTTTTTTATTATTTAAAGTGTGTCTTATTCGCATAGAGTAAATTCATGTAGGCACTTTCACATAGAACATTTTTGTTTAGCATACTTCCACATAGAATAATGTCATATAAAACATAAGCATATACATAAAGATCAAAACAATGCTTTAAAAGTACACTTGATATAAACATAATAAAATATTGCATAAACTAAATAAATAGTTTTTGACGAAAACTTCGAAGTTGGCTTGTCGCAAGCGTCCTCAAATCCAATATAAAACAATTTAGTTGCACTCACATTTGCCTCACGTAAGTCTAAAAAGAAGCCATTTTTCTTTTTGTTCAATCTCATACTATGTCGATTCCTTCGATACAGTTTCAATCCAAATCTACACATAGATATATCCAATATCACAACCAACTTTCCATTAACATATAACCAATTAGCATTTACAAAAAAGAAACTAAAACTCTCACTTTAAATTTTAGATGCATTAGTATCGCTACCCCTCATACAATACTGATATTTCTCTTCTATGGTACCGATACCCTTTCAGTATCGATATCATTTTGGCATTCTGGAATTTCATACTTAATAATAGTATCGATACTCCCATTTCAGTATCGATAATACTTCAATCAATATCGATATTGTTCCTCGTATTCAAACTATTTTCTTCAATTTAACCCTATAATATATGTATTGTTCTTTCAGTACCGATATCCTTGCCCAGATTTCACCTCTTTCACTTTGAATTTTACACACCATTCACCAAAATCTTAAACTTTAAGCTCCGTTAATAATCTCAAACTCATTAACACTTATCTTAATCAATATATATCCAATAATCCCCTTTATACATCCAATTTCTTTATGAAATTCTTAAAACTAAAAATCATACCATATTTTCAAACATGTTCTTAATCATTTATAATACTTCAAATCCCTTAATTAGACCTTTGACAAGTCAAATATACCTTTAGAAATTCAATTACTACTCAATCTCATCAAATCTCCTAATAACCCATTTACTAACCCATTAAGAATTCACTCATCTCTTAATTTTAATCAACCTTAAGCTTTCCTTAAGCTTATATATCACCCAAAGACCAAAAACCAACTTAAAAATTCAAGAAACAATCAACTTGAAAGTAACTCACCTTGAAAATAGAGGTTCATGGCAAATAGGAAGAAGAAGAGAAATAAGCAAAATTTTCAAATACTTCTTCTTTTTCTCATCCTCCTAAGCTTAAAATATCTTTTAAAATAAATTTTAAATTCATTTTTCTGCTAAAAGACCTCTTTGCCCTTCTATTCTTCCATCTTTGCTAATAAGTCCTATGCACAAATTTCCAAAATTAGTCATTAAACTTTTTAATCTATTCTAAAATAAACCACTAAATTTTAAATTCTTACATTTTAGTCACTGACCCGATGTTTGGGGTATTATAGTTGTAGGATCATTAGAAAGAAGTTTAGCTTGAAAGTTGAGTATGAGCATGTTTATTAGCCTTCCATGGTAGATCTTATGTTTAATGTTTTTAGCATGTTTCTAGGGCTTATTTATGCTCCTCTTTAATCACATAAGACTTTAAGAATGTTTTGGGACCTCACTAAGGTCTTTGGGCTAGATGAATATGAGAGTTTTGTGTGAAAATGTGTTTTCTGCAGGTGGAGTATCGATACTTGTTCATCGTTCCAAGCAAAATGTGTGTTTTCTGGGTAGGAGTATCGATACTTTAGAAATAGTTTCAAAACTCCCAGTCAAATATCGAAACTTGTCAGAACGTAGGGCTAAAAACTATCAGAACTTATATAAAGTATCAAAACTTTAGGGGGAGTATCGATACTCCAGGGATAATATCGATACTTTCAGTCTGTTTTGGGAAGAAAGGTCAATTTTCTAGGGAATTAGACTCGAGGTACCCAACACTTCTTTATATCATCAAATAAGACTACAAGTGTAACAATATTAATGTTAATTCAAACGTAGAAACCAAATAATTAGGGACAAATAAGACTAGCCTTGTTTGATGATTGAAAAATGATTCGGACACTTGGGTTTCTTTAGAAAAGCTAGTGGAGTCGAAAGTATAGATGCAGTCTGGATATATCCTTAGGTAGGGCCCAAGGACCTTAAAACCGACTAAGGCCAAGGCCTGACACTCGCAAGGGGTGGGTTAGTTAGGGGTATGGTGTCTGATGCAGAATTTCGGGGGCCATATCTTAGTAATCCCTCAGCTGCACCATGATGTCTACAGTAGTGTAGAGAGTGAGTATCACTAGGATATTCACTAAGTAGATCAGATCAGTAGACTTGATAGCTAGCCTTTCAGTGATATGTAGTTAGTATGTTTCAACTATTAGTGTGTCACTGAGCTAGTTAGCTCAGATATCGGTTGTTTCTGTGGGCAGGTTAGAAGATCCACCGGATGAGGAGTTGTAGATCGATAGATGACCATACTAGACCCAATTCAGATCAGTGTAGACTACAGAGTACGTCTCAGCATTTTGAAAGGGCATGTATATTCGTAAACTTTATTGTCCAGTTGAGTCGTAGTTTCAGTAGAGCAGTTTGTATTATTTTTGTAAAGTGTAAATATTTTAATTTGGAGGTCCTCAGTGTAAAGATTTTATTTATTCTTCAGTTTATTTTATAGTTGTTTTATATTTAAAGAAAGTAAGAAAAATTTGGTCAACCACTTCGGTGGTTCCGTATGGCATCTTACATCGGTCGACTATGTGTCGTACTGGTATGAGGTGTTACACTAATAGTAGAGTGCTTAGAATAAGAATAAATCAAAAGTTCAATGAATAATTTAAGTTTTTTACATTCTAGTGACTACAATAAAAATAGAAAAGGTTAAGTTGTAACAACTTAATGATTTTGCAACAAAAAATGTAATGATTTAGGTTGAGATATAACCCTAATTTTTTATTATTAGAAAAATATATGGGAAAATATGAAATTAAAGTTCTAAATTTTAGATTATTTTGATTTTGCCCCTTATTTTCTATGTTTAATTATACTTTGCCCCTCATTTTATATGATTAATTATATTCCCCCCCTTAAGTTGGAATCCTGATTCCGTCTCTGGATATGACATACAATTTTTTAATTAATTTGGAATAAGTTTAAGGTAGTATTTGTTCAAATATTACTCTTAATTATCTAACATTGACCGTTCATACCTCTGACATTGGTACTGAAAACTGAAACTTCAAGGAATAACAACA